TTAAACATTCTAGAAATTAAGAACGTTCATTAAGATCTCCTTTCTTAAGGTATAGAATTGAGGGTCACAATTTATAGCACATTTCTCAGACAGACAACATCTTAAGATTTCCAACTTGTGAAGATGCCTACAAATTAATAAGAAAAGAATGAACAAAGTTTATAAATATGCAAATCTAAGAAGTTAATAAACACATATTAAGATACTTGATCCTGGCTGGGCATGATGGTTCACACCTGTAATCCCAGCACTTTGGGAGGCCAAGGCAGGTGGATCATGAGGTCAGGAGTTCGAGACCAGCCTGGCCAATATGGTGAAACCCTGTCTCTACTAAAAATACAAAAATCAGCCAGGCATGATGACATGTGCCTGTAGTCCCAGCTACTCAAGAGCTCAGGCAGGAGAGTTGTTTGAACCCAGGAGGTGGAGGTTCCAATGAGCCAACATTGTGCTATTGCACTCCAGCCTGGGCAACAGAGCAAGACTCTGTCTTAAAAAAAAAAAAAAAAAGATACTTGATCCTACTAGCAATCAAGATAATGAAAATCTAAATAATGAGATGCTATTTTTAATCCATCAGATTAGCAAAAATTGGAAAATGGGTTATCTAATGATAACAAGAAGGTGGGAAAATTGAACCACCCCAAACACCTTAGGGTAACAATAAATTTCTCTAAGCTTTTGGAAAGGAATCTGGTATTGTCCATTAAAATATAAAATGAACATAAACTTTGATTTAGCAATCCTACTTTAGGGAATCTAACCAAAATCAAAGTACCAGTACATAGGAAGTACATGTAAAAATATATATTGCAGAAAAAGTCAGTTGGAGAATGGGTAAATATACTATGGTATTTCCATACAATGAAATGTTAGACAACTATTAATCCCATGTTAGAATACATCTTTATGTACATGATATAGTTTAAATAAAAAAAAACTAAGGTTATAGAGTTGTAAAGCACACATCAATTTTTATTTAAACTTTAAACAGAAAATGTTTTTATATCCTTGTGTATTCATAGATAAACTATTAATATTGGTTGCCTTTGAATCAGGATTAAAGATGATGGGAGCAAATTATTAACTTTTTCTCTATATAATCCTATATTGATTTTCATTAAACTTTAGTATATTTTAACTTTATAATTTAATTTTTTTCATTTTGGCTTTTAAATTTTTATTAAATAATAAATAGGTATAATATAATAGTTAAGTGAAATATCTTTAAGAAAAAGATACATACCCAATTTAAAACAGAACATTAGCCTTTCCCCTGATGTTCCTGTGGCCCCTTCCCAGGCTTCATTCTGTGTCCTCCTCCCTCAGGGAATAACTATTCTGAATTGTGCTATCATTCCTTTTGTTTTATTTACCCTTTATGCTGTTTTGCATATTTTGCAAATTTATATAAATTATTTTGTTTTAAATCTTTTTTTTGCTGAGACTGCATCTGAGTTTATTCATCTTCACATTATACAAAATACAATATCTAATTCATAAATGCTAGTGCTGACAGATACCTGAGTTGTTTGTAGTTGAAGTCTATTATAAACAAGCCCAGTAGGGACATTCTTGCATGTCTTCTGGTACAAAAGGTCAAGAGTTTTTCTAAGCTAAATAACCAGGAAGGAAATTGCTAGGACATAAGGTGTGTGCACATTAAAAAAAATACCAAATTATTTTCCAAAATGGTTTCCATCAAGCCACATACTCACCAATATCAACTATTATCACATTTTTAAAAATGGAAACAATCTAGTCAATGTAAATTATTATTTCACCATGACTTAATTTTCAGTCTCCTGATTCAAAATTAGGTTGAATCACTTTTTCATATTTTCTCTTCTGTGAAATGCCTGTTAATGTATTTTGCCCATTTTTCTATTTGGTTATCTTTTACTTATAAATAAGCAGTTCTTTATATTTTCTAGGCATTAATGCTGTGTCAGCATAGACCTCAGTAAGAGACCCCAGGAGGAGCCTAACCATAGTCCTAAACTGAAACTGAAAAGGAGGGTACTGAGAAAGAAAAAAGCAGTGTCTATCTAGTTTTCCCTAGGAACTGGCCTTACTCTAACAGCTAAGACATGGTAGTCCCTGTTTGCAAAGGAATGTGTTATTTTACTTTAAAAATATATTTATATTCAAAATTCCATGTCTGCCTAAATATAGAAAGCTAGTATGAGTATCACTTACACCCTAACAATACATACAAGTTGAAAAAAAACACTAAATCAAAATTTTATTGAATCCATCAGAGAGCTGAGATTGCAGGTCAACCAAGTAGTTTGAAATCTAAGGAAAGAACTCTCCTAAGGAGTGACAGGACACGAACACTGGCTCCCTGTGGCAGTTCAAGGGAGAAAAAGATACCAGGCACTATACAAATGGGAAAGAAGTATTCAGACATACAATGTAATGCACTGCTGATGGCTGGATGTGAGCCATTGTGACAGTAGAGAACAGCATAAAGCTATAGGCACAAAGAGAACCTGCACACATTTGCAGACTCAAATTCACAGACCTCCAACAGCTGCTCATAAGAAAGACTGAGAGCTGAGCAGGAGAGGGGAAGAACCAATCCCTCAGAAGGGTAAGGTTGGAGGAAGGGAGCTACTGTCATGGTAGAAAATGCATAAAGCCCCACTTAGACCTATTTACCCAGAACAAAAGTCTTACACTGAAGGAAGAGGAGCAACAATCCCTGCTGTGTATAAGTATAGACCCACTGCAGCTGGGAAAAGAGCAAACAAAGTCCCTCTATTCCTGGAGAAGGTGCAGAAAACAGTCTTGAGCCCAGAATTTGATGTCATTATTGTTACAAACCTCCTATCGCTACACGAAATGAAGAAGGAAACCTTCTCCACCGTGGACTTGCCAAAGGTATCAGGCAGAGTCTGGATGCCATGAGAAGGGGTAGTATCACTGACCAAGCCCGTCACTGATGACCTGCCCAAGGCCGAGAATGGAATAGGACAACAAAGAGTGACTCGGTCCTCCTTCCTGAGGCAAGCAAGCACCAGTCTACTGCTGGAAGATGGGCAAAAGGAGAGAGAGCCCTTCTCAAGCATAGGCCTAAAGCTGAGGATGAAATAGAAAGGCAAAAAAAAAAAAAAAAATCTTTAGCATCCCAGCTGCCACCCTGCGCACAAGTTAAATCTTAAGGAATTCTAAGCCAATTCTAAGTCTAAGCCAAACGACAGCAACACAAAACCAAAATCCAGTTCGTGTCCTAAATGGCATAGCAGAGGAATAGGCATGACTATTTCTAGGCATAAATTCTATTTACTTCAGTCTCTTTTTTTCTACATCCAGTACCAACACTCAATCAAATACACAGACACATAAGGAAGATGCAGCAGCTGCAACAACAGAAACCAGTGTCAAAAAACAAGGCAATCATGGAAAAAAATATCAGCAACAACCCATCTGTCAGAGTTATCCAAGAGGGAATTTTAAATAACTGTCATTAACATCTTTAAGCTCTCATGAAAAATTCAGACAAAATGCATTAGCAACAGAGACAGATTCTGTAGGAAGATGTCAAATGGAAATGTTGTACATAAAAAACACTATATACTTTCAATGGGTTCATTAGTAGACTCAACATGACCAAGAAAGGAATCAGTAGACTTGAAGATAGGTTGACAGAAATTACCTAACTGAAATACAAAGAGTAAAAACAGTAGGAGGAAAAAAAAAGTTAAAAAAGCCACCAACAATACTAGTACAGCATCTTTGGAATACAGTTTGTCTGTGACACATTTATGACCCAGAAATCCCACTCCTAGGTATTTACCTTAAAGTAATGAAAACTTATGTTTACACAAAGTTTGTGATTATCTATAGTACTTTTATCCATAATTGCCAAAATCTGGAAACCACTCAGTGTCCTTCAACTGGTGAAAGGAATACTATTCAATAAAAAAGAAATTAAATATTGATAAATGCAATGACACAGATGAACATCAAAAGAATTATGCTAAGAAGTTGGGCTCAAAAGTCTACATATTTATGATTCCATTTATATAATGCCTTGAAAAAGCCAAAAGAGAATGAAAATAGATTACTGGTTGGTAGGCACTGGGTTAAGAGTGGACTATAAAAAGTTACAAGAGAAATTTATGGGGAGATAGAAATGTACTATACCTTGATTGTGGTGGTAAACCTTGGTCAAACCTCACAGAACCATATGCTAAAAGGATGAATTTTAGTGTATGCCTCAGTTTAATTAAGCATGTTTTAATTAAAAATTATGCCTCATTTTATAAAAGCATGGTCTTATAAACTATTTTTGTATGACATCTGCATTTTAATAATTGCATAATGTGATATTGTCTTAATTGGGTTTGATATTTTTCATATGAAGTCATGAGAGATGTTTTCAACATTTAAAGGGATGTTGGCTATGGATGACCTCTAAGATCCTCTCCAACTCCAAGGTTTCTGAAGTGTGCATGTGATCTCCCAAGTTAACAAACACAAATTTTATGAATACATATGTATACATATATAGATTAAGTATATATTCATAGTTCTAATTACCTTTATATTTATATACATGTAAATACATATACACAAAAAGTTCTGAAATATTCTTTAGTGTTATAATTTGTTAGACATATTTATTTTTTCCCATTATAAACATGATAATTTATAATCCAAAAATGTTATTTTATTTATAGAGCATATATTGTGCAATGAATTTTTTAAAAAGAAATTGGTTAGCAGGTTATATTTCAAATATATAAAATACGTAGCTTTTAAAAACATGGATTTTACAAAACTGACATATTTAATATGTTAAAATACTTGAAGAAAGGGCAGAAATTTAATATTTTGAATATGGAGTGTGGGGCATTTTTTTATTTTTAAAAGAAACTCCTAGAAAACCATATTTTCCCATTTTTTGAAGACTTTCGTAGCTTTTTCCTTCACTTGTATTAGAAATATGTAATATATTAGAGCCTCTTCAAGAAAATAGGATGACATCATACCAGAAAGCAGAGGGGAGGCAGCCTGTGAGGGCCCTGCACCCTCCTCATCCTCAGTGCTCCACCTGTCTCTTCTGAGGTGGCCTCTGGCTGTCCACATGCTAGAATTTCCATCACTAGAAAAGAAATGTATAATTTGCCCATGGTTTCAAAGAATAGGTACATTTCAGAAATACTTTCTAATCATCTTTATTGATTATTTAATTGACATTCACTTCCATTTCAATCCAGCCACCCACTCCCATTGTCATCACCTGAAACTGGCCAACTTCTGAGATAATTCCATAATCCCAATGTCTGATCATAAACTCCATCTCCTCCACTTCTTTTACCTTGCAAACTAGTCACCTCAGATCCATCTGCCTTAGCTTCTGTGGATGGATCCACCTCAGATCCATCCACCTTACCTTCTCCCCTCCTTTACCTAGGCTGTGGGAGGGAAGCACTGGAGTTGCTGGGCTTTCTAATATCGGCAGAGAGCCATTTGGAAAACACCAGCATGTCCCTGGTTGGTTTCCTGTACCACTCTTCCATGGCAGCTAATTCCAAGCCACCATCCTCTTGTAGTCCTAATCTTAATACTCTGCCTTAGTAAAAATTTAGCTTCTTCTAGAAAATGCAAGCCAGAAAATAGAAATTCTTTATCTTTTTAAACGTTTATTTAGATTCATCAATATCTTTGATATTCCTTGCTTTCGGCCCACTCAAAATTCATCCTTCTATGTTCTTAATTCCATTCCTTCCGCCTCCTCTGAGGTACTTTACTATGACTTATATTTTCTTAAATATACTATTAATCTCTCCCTATCTACACATTCTTTCATATCATAAAAATACTCAATTTTCTCTATCTTAAAAATAGGAAACAATTTAAACTCTGTCTAGCTACTAATTATGAACAGATTTTTCAAATGCTAACCCATACCCACGTTCTGTTTCCTTTCCAACCTCTCCAAAGTCAACTGACTCGCTAACACTATCTACTTGGCTCTTGTACTTTCATTTGCAACCCTACCTAGCAAAGTCCTAATTTGACTGAAGCATCTAATCTTCAATGTTTTGAGAAAATTCTTCCTAAAATACACATTTAATTATACCTGCCCAACCAATATCAGGATAAATCAAAGCCCCTTATCCAACACGTAAGTTTAGGGTAGGGCACACATGCCCTACAACTCTTGGCACCTAATATTTCTCCCCATTAGTAGACATTTTCACAACTCCTTACCTTGCTCAAACTTCTTCCTCTTGCCTGAAATGTTCTTCTCCTTTACACCCTATTTAATTAAATCCCAAATTCAACTAAAATATCTTCTTCAAAGAAGCTTGTGGGAAACTTCCCTTATGCATAGTTCTCAGTCTTCTGTACCCACTATCTTTGGATTTTAACTCTAAAATAATATTTACTACATTGTACTTCAATTTGACTTTTATATATCTGTTTCCCTAATTAAACTGTGAACTAAAGAGCAAGAAATATGTAGTAGTTTGTATTTGTGTACAGTGCTGAGTATATCACAGAATCTCAAAATGCCTTTGGAATTACTATTACTTGTTTATTTAATGAAGTGCATTAAATAAACAAATTAAAGTTGTTCATACAAATTTGATACATATACACATACAAAAACACAACATAAAGAATATACACATTCTTATATATTGCTATTCCGTAGAGTATAGCTAATATTACTGATAAATTTCCAAGGAAATATGGCTTAATAAAATGTTTCCTCATCTGATGTTTTTGCTTATAACACCTAAATTTGAATATTTTGTTAGCATGAAAAATTAGGTTTCTTTCATTTTCCTAAATTTGCTCTTCTTCGGGTACTTTAAATTTTTTAAATATATGTGGATTAAAGATTTAAACATGAGACCTAACACTATAAAAACTCTAGAGGAAAACCTAGGCAATACCATTCAGGACATAGGCATGGGCAAGAACTTTATAACTGAAACACCAAAAGCAATGGCAACAAAAGCCAAAATAAACAAATGGGATCTAATTAAACTTGAGAGCTTCTGCACAGCAAGAGAAACTATTGATAGAGTGAACAGCAACCAACAGAATGGAAAAAAAAATTTGCAATCTACCTATCTGACAAAGGGCTAATGTCCAGAATCTGCAAAGAACTAAAACAGATTTACAAGAAACAAAAACAACCCCATCAAAAAGTAGGCAAAGGATATGGACAGACACTTTTCAAAAGAAGACATTTATGTAGCCAACAAACATGAAAAAAAGCTCATCACTGGTCATTAGAGAAATGCATATCAAAACCACATTGATATACCACCTCATGCCATTTGGAATGGGGATCATTAAAAAATTAGAAGACAACAGATCCTGGAGAGGATGTGGAGAAACAGGAATGCTTTTACACTGTTGGTAGGAGTGTAAATTAGTTCAACCATTGTGGAAGACAGTGTGGTGATTCCTCAAGGATCTAGAAATAGAAATACCATTTGACCCAGCAATTCCATTACTAGGTCTATATCCAAAGGATTATAAATAACTCTATTATAAAGACACATGCACACATATGTTTATTGTGGCACTGTTCACAATAGCAAAGGCTTGGAACCAACCCAAATGCCCATCAAAGATAGACTGGATAAAGAAAATGTGACACATATATATCATGGAATACTCTGCAGCCATAAAAGGGGATGAGTTCATGTCCCTTGCAGGAACATGGATGAAATTGGAAACCATCATTCTTAGTTCTCACTCATAAGTGGGTGTTGAACAATGAGAACACACAGATACAGGAAGGGGAACATCACACGCTGGGGCCTAAGGGGTGGGGGGTTAGGGGAGGAACAGCAGAGGATTAGAGGATTGGAGAGGGATAGCACTAGGAGAAATACCTAATGTAGATGACAGGGCAATGTATGCAGCAAACCACCACATAACACGTGTACACCTATGTAACAATCCTGCAAGATCTGCACATTTACTCCAGAATTTAAAGTATAACAAATAAATTTATATATGTGTGTGCTACCAAAATTCACCATACTAACAATACTATTGTTTATAGTGCATACTTTTCTTTCTGAAAATAGATCAAATTTCTAATAAAATTTAGTGATGTACCAAGAGCTTCATGCTACCTCAAGTACACTGACCACTTCAAAAACTCCAGGCATATTTGCAAAAGCTTTGAAGCTCTGTAACCACTGAAGGATAGAGAAATCAAATCCTTCAAGAATACTTTTCTCTTGTGTTAATTACCATACTTCTGAGATCGTAAACGTATTTCTAATAAAGCTAAATCAGGTTTATAAAAAGCTGTATCTTGAAAAATTAAACATTTGAGGGCCATTATTCACTGTCTCCATGCAGAGGGCTAGCTATGAATATAAGTAACATAAACAGAAAACTCACTAAATAAGCATATTAGTTATACCTTTCTGAAGGTGCTTCAGAAAAATCCTCATAATCATTATCTGGGAAATTCTGAAGAGGAAGTTTTACCTTCTCTGAGTTAACCTTATTGTCAGAAACCTACAGACATAAGAAAGGAAACAAATTATGGCCCTGGTTTTAGAAAAATATGGTTTAAAAGAAATATGATTTCTATAGCTATTTAAAAGAAGAACAAAAGGATCTGCAGTAATGGAATTATAGCCACAATCACATAGTATAATGTCTGCTCCTAGAAAATCACTTCATTGTGTATCTCTGTATTAAATATTTTCCAATCTGTCAAGTGTAGAATACTATGCAAATAGAAGTTATTTATATTGAATTACTCCAATGATTTTTCAAAACTAAATTTTTAAAAAGCTTCATTTGAGAAAAAATAGATTTATCATTTCAGCCTAGAAGAGATTCTTATAAGTGTTTATCGTGTTTTGTTTACTGTGAATATAAAATTCCTGCCACCATATTTATCTTTAGTACTTGCACCATCTAATCTCCTAATTCTAAGTATTTCTCCACCTTGCACTGCCCAAGTTTGCACTGGAGAGACTTCAGTCTTGATAACTTGTAGTGCCAGTGCCCCAACACCATATACACACATTTCCTTCCTTTCTTGTCTGATACTGTCTTGCTATACTTGGCCGTCTATTTTCTCAAGCACATCTCATGAATCGGCTGATCAAATCTCATTCACACACAAAAATAACTTTGGGATTATTATTGAAATTAAGTTATATGAATTTTTTAACTTAAATTAGAAATAAGTGGTATCTTTATGTATTAAGTGTTATTATCCACTAATATTATATAGCTTTAAAGTTTAAAGCATATCAGAATTCATCCTAGATAGGCCAAGCTATAATTTAGCAAGAAAAAAAATACTCAAAAGTAAAAATATAAACAAAATCACAAAATATGTTCAGTTCTAGAAGAAGTCAAATAAAACTATACAAAGAATCTACTTGGGCCATTCTGTGAAGCTTTCAAATCATCTCTGCTTCAAGGAGAAGCAGAGATCAGAGTTAAGTATCGAGAGTGAGCTGAGAGCCCAACACAGCACTAACAGCCAGAGAATCCCAGCCAAAGATGTGATGGTAGCCCTGATATGGCCATCTTAAGTATAACAGGGAATGAACAGGAGATAATAACCAAGTTATAATGTCATTTTTAAAAGCTTCGCTCCTGTTCACTTGGGGTGGAGGTGGCAATTGAACAGGGGAAGTGGTAGCAGTATTTGGTTTATGTACTGACTTTATCCCCATTACTGCTCTAACTTACAGGAAGGGAGCACAAGGCCAGCATCATCATGGCAGTTCCAAAGTTCCAGTTGACTAGGTAAAAGAAAAAAAATGCAAAGCACCCAGCTGACTAAAATGCATTTCCCTTTTTCTGTGCTCCAACCCTAGCACTATCTCCACAAACGGGGGAATGTGTTGAAGTAAGAGGTTTTATCACAGACTTTTCACAGCCCTCTACTTTTCCATAGTTGGGAGACACCCAATCATGCTATCTCAAACAACGAAAAAGTCCACAATCAATACATCTAAAGGTGTTTCATACTTCATATGGAATTTATTTTGTATCTTCATTAGTAATGCAAAACAAGTGCCAGTAAAATTTCCAGAGTAGCATTAAAAGGAATTTTCATTAGAAAATGCAATTCATTGGAAACTTTGCAAAAAGTTCCACTCTTTCAAATTCCTATTTTTGTCATTGTCAACACTATAGTGACAAAGACTTAAGATATCATTTTGGTGAGAACAAAATAGAATCTGTTTCCCAGAGAGCATAGTCAGCAATTTAGATTATTAGCCAAAATTAGTAGAGATCCTAGTCTTACCTTTGATCTAGGTGTGTTTTTCCGACTTGATGAAGGCAAAGTCTCCCTGAAATTCAGGTCTTCTGCTTCAGAATCACTTCCCTCATTATCTTTTACTTAACAAAGGGAGGAAAAAAACTGATCAAATAGAAAACATTACACAGAAGGAAAGCTGGAGCCTTAATGAGAAAAATAAAGCTACATGAGGGTAATTTTCACCTACTTCTCCTGTTTTCCAAACACCTCGTCTTTATCTCCTATAATATCTTTCCCCCCTGCTTTGAAAAAAGAAACATAGCAAAGATGATCCTTCTTCTAGGATTACCCTCGGGGAGTTGACTTTTGAGCAGTTCCCCTGTTCCTCATTGCCATATTATTCAAGAAAGTACTCTTCAAGTAAATCCTAGATATATACACCCTGCAGAGCCTTTGCATTGGGAGCTGCAGAATGCAGTCTTCTGTGTTTCAGAGTCTATTTCTTGAATAAAGAATACTGTGTTACAAAAGTCTCACTTTAACTTCTTATATTATTTATCATTCATAAGTTAGCAATATGTTAAGGTATATAGAAAATTGTTTTTGGCTTTGTTGAAGAATGTAATATGAATCATCCCAGGGAAAAGTCTCGGTTTCTTACATGATTGTTCCTAATACTTTGTTAATGTTATGGCGCAGACTCTTCAGATAAGAATCCAAGGGAAAAACTTTTCTCTTACCTCAGTATTGAGCACCCAGAGTAGTGTGTCTCAAACCACAGCAGCCTTAAATATTTTGATTTAGAAATTCAGTGGCATAGCATATTACAAAATCAATAAAAAATATAGTAAACAAGCACTATGGAAATGAAAAAATGTGTTCCCAAATGTGTGTTAAAAAGGAAATCTAACAGAAATTGTGAAACTTTATAACATATGAATTAATTTTATAAATTAAAATATTAAGAAATATCAGTGAAGGGACAACATATCAAAACTAATGTGAAATAGTTAAATGAGTGTTTAGATAGAGGGAAATGTATAGTCTTAAATGTGTTCACAAAAAAGACAGGAAAAAAAAGCTACTATAAATGACTTTTGTATTCAATCATAGAGGCCAAACAAAGAAAAACTGAGGAAACCCAGAGAAAGTAAAAGGAGGAAATCATAAAAAAAAATATAATAATAGAAAATAAGGTTAAAGAATAAAATAATCAGGAAAATCCAAAAAACTAGTTCTAAAAAAGAAAACTTAAAAATATTATACAATCCTCTTTCACTACCAATCAAAGGAGAGTAAGTGCACAAATAACATTAAAAATGAAAAAGGGCATGGCATGGCTACAAATGCAAATCTAATTTTTAAAGATAATAAGCAAATACTATGAGAAAATTTAGAAAAATCTGATGAGATGAAAACTTTTATAAGAGAATTATAAGTTATGAAAATTTACTCCAGAAGATGTAGAAAGGCTGAATAGTATAATAACCATTTAAAAAGTCAAACCAATAATCAAAAATCTCACTCCCTAGAGGAAAAAGCATCTGGCCCCAAAAAGGTTTCCAGATGGGACTTTATCAGACTTTCAATGAACAAAAATATCTTTCTCATGCAAATGGTTGTGAAAATGTTTATTAAAGTTGTCTCATTTATATTACAAGGTTAGTAAAATCCTAACATAAAAATAAAACATGGAAAATACATGTTAAGAAAAATGACAAACCAAACCCAGTAATGAATATATTCCTAAATAAAATGACATTTGCTGTTACTTTAAATTTCAAAAACCACAATTACTTTTGCACCAACCTAGTAACTAAATGGTGCAGTGAAAAGAAATGCATCCGAACTAAGTTGAATTTATCACAAGAATTCAAAATATGTATAGTATGAGAAAAAAACTATAACATAAATTAGCATATTAACAAATGTTAACAAATAAAGAACAAATCATACTATATCTGAACATATAAAGGAAACTCATTTGAAACCCAACAATCAAACTATAAATAGAAGGAAACTTCTTTAACTTAAAGTTTATCTAGCCCAAACTGGCATTATACTTAATGGTAAATTTTAGACATTGTCTCATTATTTTAAAGAAAATACAAGAATGCCTGCTATCACTACTCTTATCTAATACTATAAAATACAGAGCCTAGACAATAAAGAAAAGAATAAAAGCATAAGGATTGGAAGCAAATCAAGTAAATTGTTATTTTACAATATTATAATTATCTAGATGGAAAATTAAATAAACTCTGCAGTCAAACTACAGGTTGAGCATCCCTAATCTAAAAACCCAAAATCTAAAATGTTCCCAATTTTGAAATTTGTGAGCACCAACATGATGCCACAGAGTAGAAAATTCCACACCTAAGTATTTAACACAATTTTTTCCATAAACAAAATTACTTAAAATACTGTATGATATTACCTTTAGGCTATGTGTATAACGTATATATGAAACATAGATAAATTTCATGTTTATTTTTGGCTCCCAATACCAAGATATCTCATTATGTACATACAAACAATCCAAAAAAAAAAATCCAAAATCTGAAACACTTCTGGTCCCAAGCATTTTGGATAAGGGATATTCACGCTTTATTAGAAATAAGAGAGTCTGGCAGGATATCTTATACAAGAATCAATAAATTAAGGACTTTCCATATATCTGTGATAACCAACCAGATATCAAAACAGAAGAAAATATACCATTCACAACAGTAATAAAAAGTAACTAGAAATCAGAAATAATTGAACCAAACATATAGTGAAAATTTAAAAATTATACTGAAGGGCACAAAAGATAGAATAAAGAACTTGTATTCTTATATGAGAAAACTCAATATCATAATAATGCAAGGATTCCTCAAATTAATGCACAGAACTTACAAGGAGGTTAAACAAATGAATAAGCAAGGAGAAAACGATCCCATTAAAAAATGGGCAAAGGACATTAGCAGACATTTTTGAAAAGAAGACATATACCTAGCCAAGAAGCATATGAAAAAAAATGCTCAATATCACTAATCATTAGAGAAATGCAAATCAAAACCACAATGAGATACTATCTTACACAAGTCAGAGTGGCTATTACTAAAAAGTAAACAAAACAAACAACAAACAAACAAAAACAAATGTGTGTGAGATTGCAGAGAAGAGGGATGGGAATTTAAGTTCAGCCACTGTGGAAAGCAGTTTGAAGGCTTCTCAAAGAACATAAAACAACTACTATTTGATACAGCAATCTCATTACTGGGTATATGAAGGGATTTGAATTGTTCTGTCATATAGACACATACACATGTATGTTCATCACAGAACTTTTCACAATAGCAAAGACATAGAATGAACTAACATGCCTGTCAACAGTGGACTAAAGAAAATGTGGTACATATACACCATGGAATATTACACAACCATAAAAAGAATAAAATAATGGCCAGGTGCAGTGGCTTATGCTTGTAATACCAGTACTTTGGGAGGCTGAGGCAGGTGAATTACCTGAGGTTAGGAGTTGGAGACCAGCCTGGCCAACATGGTGAAACCCTGTCTCTACTACAAATACAAAAATTAGCTGGGTGTGGTGGCACACACCTGTAATCCCAGCTACTCAGGAGGCTGAGGCAGAAAAATTGCTTGAGCCTGGGAGATGGAGGCTGTAGTGAGCCGAGATCATGCCACTGCACTCCAGCTTGGCCAACAGAGCAAGACTGTCTCAAAAAAAAAAAAATGAATGAAATAATGTCCTTTGCTGCAACATGGATGCAGCTGGAGGCCATTATCCTAAGTGAATCACTACCCCTTGAGGGATGAAATCATTTGCTCACCAAGCCACAGGGACAAGCAATTTGCCCATGTAACAAAACTGCATATGTACCCCCAAACCTAAAATAAAAGTTGGAAAAAAAGAAATCATCTACAAAAAAAATGGGTAGATTTCCATATTTTTCCATTTCTAGCATAATTGATTTATCATTAAAATCAGCTTTTTCATAAAAGTTTGCAACTGTTAAAGGATAGTTTTCAGAAACATTAAAATCATGGCTCTTATACAGATATATAAATGATGATGTTACTTCACTATATAATTAATCAGTAAGAGAACCAGGCAGATGTTATTTTTAAAAACACTCTTTAAAAAAACCCATAATACTATGTGTTAGTGTGTTTGCATTACTATATACGAATGTCTAAGGCTGCGTAATTTATAAAGAAAAGAGGTTTGTTTTGGCTCGTGGTTCTGCAGGCTGTATAGGAAGCATGGTGCTGATATCTGTTTCTAGTGATGACCTCAAGAGGTTTCTAGTTATGGCAAAAAGTGAATGGGGAGCCAGCATATCACAGGGTGAAAGAGAAAGCAAGAGAAAAGGGGAGGTTCCAGACTCCTTTGAACAACCAGATCTCACATGAGCTAAGCAAGCACCCATCCATCACCAGGGGGATAGTACCAAGCCACTCATGAGGGATCTGCCCCTATGATCCAACACATCCCACCAGGTTGAAGATTACATTTCAACATAATTGGAAGAGATGAAGATTACATTTCAACATAATTGGAAGAGATAAACATCCAAACTATACCATACTGGAAGTCCTTGCCAGAGCATTAGGCAAGAGAAACAAATAAAAGGCAGACAAATTGAAAAAGAGAGTCAAATTTGTCCCTGTTTCCACATGACATGCTCTTATAAATGCAAAAACCTAAAGAATCCACCAAAAACTCTTAGAACTGATGAACAAATTAAGTAAAGCTGCAGGATACAAAATCAACATGCAAAAATCATTAGAATTTCTATATACCAATAACAAGCTACCTGAAAAAGAAATCAAGTAAGCAATCTCATTTACAATAACTACAAAAAATATTATCTAGGTATCAATTTAACCAGATATTAAAGATCGCTACAATGGAAACTATAAAAAATTGATGAAATAAATTGAAGAATATACAAACAAATGGAAAGACATCCCATGTTCATCGAATGAAATAAATATTTTTAAAATGACCACATAACTAAAGCAATCTGAGAGCTCAATGTCATTTCTATCAAAATACCAATGACATTCTTCAGAGAAATTTTTAAAATCCTAAAATTCATATGGAAGTACAAAAAATACTCCAAATAGCCAAAGCAATTCTGAGCCAAGAAAAACAAAAACAAAATAAAAACAAAAGAACAAGAACAAAGCTTAGGGTATTACACTCCCTGATTTCAAAATACACTACAAATCTATAGTAACCACAAAATCATGACACTGGCATAAAAACAGACACATATACCACTGGAATACACTAGAGAACTCAGAAATAAATTAATATGTTTACAGTCAACTCTTTCATGACAAGGCACAAAGAACATGTATTGGGGACAAGATAATCTCTTCCATAAATGGTGTTGGGAACAACTGTATATTACTATGCAGAATAAACTTAGACTCCTATCCTTCACCTTACACAAATATTGCATAATCTTACTTATAGATGGAATCCAGACTCACAAAAGCAGATAGCAGAATGGTGGTTGCCAGGGGATGGGGGAAGGAAGAAATGGGGAGTTGCAGGTCAGTTGGCATCAAATATCAGTTATACAAGATGAGTAAGTTCTGAAGATCTGATGTGTAGCATAATACATACAATACTGTATTGTAACGATAGTTGCTAAGAGGGTAGATCTTATGTTTGTAATACACACATACAGAAAGAAAATGGTAACTATGTGAGGTGATGAATATGTTAGCTTAATTTTGTAATCATTTCACAGTGTATAGACAAATCAAAACATCAAGTTATATACCTTATACACAATTTTTGTCAATTATACCTCAATAAAGATTGGAAAAACACCTCTAGGGAGGGAGCAATAATAATGACAAGGAGGGCAGGTAGAAGAGTGTATAGAAGCTGAGCTGAATGTAAAAGGAATGAGAAAAGGCATAAAAGAAATACTGAAAAATGATGGAAAGCTACTAATATTTTAAGCATGACAATAATAATATGGGTTGGCTAGGAGACAGCTAAGATTTAACTAAAACATAGCATTAGTATGATGTATCAAAAACTATAAATGTGTATGCTTTGAGTTCACATCTAACAAAATTATGGAAACAAACAGCTTGGTGGCAGATTACAGGTTGTTTTTATTGTCTTATTGTTTTGTCTGTTTTGGTGCTTTTTTGTACTTCCAGAATTCTTCACAATAACCCTATATTGTATTTATAATCAGGAAAAAAATGTTATATGTAAAGAGTAAAGTAAAACACTAGAGTCTAACTATTGGTTCTCTAAGTGTGATGGCTTATAAGAAATGCAGTCTTGCCTCCCCCTCCCCGACGAAGACCCAGGCAATCAGAATATGCAGGATAGTGATCCACAGGTGGTCCCTATGCAAATCTACAGTTTGAGAGGCACTGTTAAAGCTCCTCCTGATCCCATACCCAGAAAAGTGGATGATGCACCTACCAGACTCTGCTCTAAAGTCCTTGGGTGAAGACATGTTGTCTCCATCCCCCAAATGAGACTGGTAAAAGGCTTCTTCAGATATGGAGCCTTAAGTCCTGTGAGCCAGGCTAAAGGTCTAATTAGTATCCTGGGGGCCAACAAACAATTTTTGTTCACCTGGTAAAACACACAAAGCCAAGTATTTTTCTTTTAGACAACATGAGCTATCATAGCTTTGACATATTATTATTCATCAATTCAAAATATTTAAAATAGTGTAATTTTAATTAAAGACAATTAAATTTCATTTGAAATTTTATCAAATAATTTCTAGATATTCCTTGAGAACTAGAGATACATTTAGTTATCAAATATTAGCGTTTAAATATGCTATGCCTTGCATTCCACAAATAAATATGTGAATGGCCCTCCACTCCAATGATGGATCTCTTTATATAAATACACACACACACACACACACACACACACATTCAATCAGTGTCACTCAATGGAAACTCAATTATTTAAATGCCACACCTAAGCTAAATTAGGTACTGAGAATTCAATACTGAATAAATAAGAACTACAGAGTCCATCTTCAAGGAGTTCTTCTTCATTCAATCTATAAAAAGTTCTCGCACAAAATATTTTTTCTTTTCTAATCCTTGCCTTAAGTGGCCTGTAGGCCATGTTACATTGCTCTCATTGGTTAAAACCAAGAATACTTTTTTGTCTGGAGATCTTTCCATTAAATACCTGCAAATAAAATGGCATTTCTATAATCTGAATCTAAAGTTAATGTTGTAAAATAGATTTATTTTAAAACTTTGAGATATAGGTCTTAAAATTTATTTAAGACTGGGTGTGGTAGATCATGCCTACAATCATAGCACTTTGGGAGGCTGAGGCAGGAGGATTGCTTGAGCTCAGGAGTTCAAGACCAGCCGGGACAACTGGGTGAAACTCTGTCTCTACAAAAATTAGTCAGGTGTGGTGGCATGTACCAGCTGTGGTCCCAGCTACTCGAGAAGCTGAGGTGGGAGGATGGCTTGAGCCCAGGAGGTAGAAAATGAACTGAGCCAAGATCACACCACTGCAGTCCAGCCTGGTGATAGAGCCAGACCCTGTAGCTAAATAAATAAATAAATTTAAAATGTGAAGGTAAGGCAAAAAGATAAGTGGCATGTCCCTTCAATGTTATACAATAATGATGGGCCATCCCAAAGATTACTTACGTCGGGAAATTGTACTTTATTCATTTCATTGTTTACTACCAGTTAAAAGTCCAGCAGTGATACAAATAATTTCTGTCTGATAAGGTAACACTAAAGATTATAATTTACATCTGTCGGGCATTAACCAGGTTTTCTTAATCTAGTCTAGCATTCTTACTCTAACATTGGTTTAAAATGTCAGTGAAAAACCTAGGTCCTCAAACTGTTCTTTGAACTACCTTTGCCATCTTCCTGGCTTCCTCACTAATTAATACATTGAGTCAAATCTTTAACCTGGTTTCATTTCAAATGTGTATGAGTCCCATTTTTAATTTTTAAAAAACATGACTTTGACAAGGGGAAGAATATCTTTTTTAAATAGGAGGACAGGGCTAGGCACAGTGGCTCACACCTATAATCCCAGCACTTTGGGAGGCCAAGGTGGGAAGATCATTTGAGCTCAAGAGTTTGAGGCCAGCCTGAGCAACCAAGTGAGACCTCTTATCTACTAAAAATGAAAAAATAAATAGTGAAGTATTGTGGCACTCACCTGTGGTTCCAGCTGCTTGGGCAGCTAAGGCAGGAGGATCACTTGAGCCTGAGAGTTGGAGGCTGCAATAAGTTATGATTATGCCACTGTACTCCAGCCTGTGCAACAGAGCAAGACTCTGTTAAAAACAAAACGATGGCAGTGGTCTTGTGACTGAGAGTAAGGTAATAGATTTCACAAGGAGCCTTCCCTGGAGGCAGACATGAGATGTTAAAGAGCTCAGAATTAACTAAGAACCTCTAAGAATGACACCTAAGCTTCTGTCTCCCAAGTACATGATTGAAAATATATAAAATAGTACAATTTTAATTAAAGACAAAATAAATTTTGTTTTACACTCCTTGATAACTGGAGACACTCTTACTAATTCAAATACTGGGGTTTAAATATGCTATATCTTGCATTCCACAAATATGTGAATGGCCCTCCACCCTAATGGCTTATCCTCTTTATATGAATACACACATACATTAGTAAGATCTCTTTAGAGCACAGATGAATAGACTAAAATCCATATCAATCCATACTAACAGTCAGTTGTTCAGACAATCCATAAAAGTATCAGAACAGCTTTGATCAGAAATGAATGCCTAATTCTAGTATTTTAGTAAACAACAGTGTAGTAAATCACAGATAACCCTACAGAAACATAAGAATTAAATAGATTCCCCTTTCCTGACATGTTTCTAGTACATATTAAAATAGACAAAACAAAGCAATCTTTAAATGATTAACATTTAATTCGATTTTGAGTTGCAGCTACTGTAGTAAATCAGTAACAATATAAGATCATACAAGTCAACATCAACATATATGTACTGAAATTGTAGGTAGTCTGTGAGGTCTACAATATAAATTGTAAACTATATAATAAAAACAAAATCTTCATTTGCAGAAGAAAACTTTTCAGAAAATATAGTGCAAGCTTTTACCATATTTCCCACCTCCCCTCCAGCTTGGCTAAGTAAGCTCCTGGAAGTGTTCCCTTATAAGCTCCATGTTTTATAATGATTTCTGGACTCATCTCCTCCAGGTTGGACCATAAGTATCTTGAGGACAGAAACTGTAAGATTTTCACTTTTGAATCTCCAACCACTAGACTAACACACTGGAGACATGCAAGAAATGTTCAAGGGACTAATTAGTTAATTCCATAAAGAATGTGTATGTAACACCAGGTAACTAATTTGCATGTCCATCAAGAACTCTGAGAAGTCACAGAGGTGTTACTTGAATGATATAGGCACTTGGTCCCTGAGGGAAAGACTGTGAAAGATATTTGGGAACCAGTGGTCAGGTCTGTAACATAAAGGTTTCCCTCCAACTCCTGGGTAAGATACAAAGTATAGAAAGTAGAGAATTATCCCTGATAAAAGGGAAATCCTTGAAATAGTATTACTTATTCTGTGATAGAGCACTGAGGATAGAGGAACAAAAGCTCCAATATGACACAAAGTGATCCCATCCAATCATAAAAAAAAGAAAAAATACAAGTGCTTGTTTTGCTCAGGAAGCAAAAACAAAACACATTTCCTCAGGTGGCAGGGTGACACAACTGAACAACACTGTGCATATTCCCAAATTCTCAGCTGGGACACTATTTTCGTCTATCACAAACTGGCAAAACTGCAGCAGATGCTAACAAAGACTATTTCTTCACAGTGGACTTTGGGTTGAGTGTAAGATGCCAAGATACACAATTAAAAATGGCATGCTCAGCACCTTGGGCCCTGGCAGTTCTTAGCACCAGGGCTGGGGCTACTTCCAATGCTTATGAAAGTTCTATCACACTACTGAGACCTACACTACCCTGAAGAGAAGGGAATGAAAGAAGTCTCAAATGCTCAATAGTACTGACTCTTGCCCTACCTGTGGTCACCCCAGGGATAATAGTTCCTTCCTCTGAAATCTATATTTCTTAAGACGAATTTCTCGGTACAAGCTTTTTGGACTACTAGTAATTATTTGGCATGTTTTATGCCTTTTAAGAATGGTTTTTAGTTTTTTATAAGAAATGATGGTATTGCTTTTTCTCATTATAAACATAACCATTAAGCAATGTCATTCAGTGGTTTATTAATCAATCATTCTCTGTAGTATGTGAGCATGAGGGCTGGGGGCTCGGAGGAAAGCAGGGAGAAGTGAAGTGCTAAAGCGCGACCTCCAGAGCCACTGACAGTTCTGGCCAATGCAATCAGGCAAAACAAGAAAAGTAAAATAAAAGGATTCATATTGGGACAGAAAAGAGAAAATCATCTTTACTTGCAAAGTTAAAAGCCTTATACACAATTATACTTCAATACAATTGATTTTTTAAAAGCCACAAAAAGATAATGTACTTCAATTAAAAATAGAAACACTTGTACAAAGATAAGATTAAGTTATTAATGAAAGTTTAAGCATTAAAAAATAGTTGTTACCAACCCATCATAGACATAAGAACAAACTGTTACCAACTGTGTTAGCAGCAAGCTCATTAAAGATTACTGTGAGCATCCACTGGAACAATGTTAGACTTAAGGTTCCAAAGGCACTGGAACCCTATGTCAACAATGCTTCACCCCTTGAAACCCAGGGACTGATGATACAGTCAGCATGAGCTACATTCTGAGCAAATACTTTTTCAATTATTAGAATGGTCCAAGTAAAAGTAATGAATGACTTAAGACGTCTTTCCAAAATGACTCTGTTATCTGGATGCCTCTGCTATTAAGGCGCCAAGGTAAACAACCTTCTACTGTTTGTTTCACTCATGGTATAAATTATTTTGACATATTCCCTCCAGTCTCCTGAACCTCAGGTCCATCTGTCTGTTGAAACTTCTTTTCTTCCCTCCTTCCTACATTCCTCTCTCTCTCTCTTGGAAGTGTATCAGTAATTATAAGAGGATGCTTTGCTTCAAAATACACAATTCCTGTACCTCTACTCAGTGTTTCCAGGCAAAAGAGTTCACTGCTCAATGTGTTAGAAGCCAATACTATGGCACCAGGTTTTTGAGAAAAGAAAGACTATTTTTTTTTTGTAGGTGCTAAGAACAAGGAGACCGGAGTCTAGCCTAAATCCATCTCCCTGTACTGGCTTAAATGCATCATTTTTATTAGAAAATGTTTAGGGAGTGAATTCTGAAATGAGTAGGAGATTGGTAGATGGAAACTGGGGTCTGAAGAGTCTTTGGGCATGTGCAGTATCTCTTATGCTATCTCATGGGTCACATATATAAATTCGGGGAAAGTTAATACAAAAGCATACAGCAGAAATTTGGGCTGTGGCATCAGCAAGCTCATTCTGTGTAGACTCTAGTTGGTTATATTGGTTTCAACTGATTTCAGCCAGTTTTGTTATCTTGCAAGAAGAGAGAATTTCAGCTTTTCAGAAAGTTGTTTTTATCAACCAATCCTATAAGCTCAAGAATTTCTCTTTGCCACTGGTTAACTCCTTGGGGCATGGTTTCATTAGCAGACCCTGGCTTCCATAATCCAAAGAACTAATTATTTATAGGGTGCAGCTGAACTATTTTCATAACTGAGATCATGTCAGTCAGGAATGTATGCACATTACATATGTGTGCAGACGAGAGTTAATGACTTCACCTAGCAGGCCCAAGACTACTACTCTCCTTAGGAATGCCTGCTTACAAAGCTGGTCCTTGGCTGATATCTGGGAACTTGGTAAAACCATTGCCTACACTAATGGTAAAACCATTGCCTACACTAATATAAAATTTTTCTAAATGAACCTCAGGTCCATCTGTTTGTCCGTCTGTCAAGTAGCTCATTTATCCTAAAACATCTACTTTCCTTCTAGGTATCTGGAATTTCAATGACTGCTATCAGTCACACTGACAGCCCTGATAAAGGCCCTAAACTCTTAGGCTCAGATGACTTTTCCTGATAGACAACATTTCACACAGGTTTCCATACCTTGTCATTCAGAAAATTAGGTGCATCCTATGTGAATCCACTAGAAGATTCTGGGAAGCTTGTATCTGATTTCCCTTTGCTGACTTTGCTCTGTACTGCTTCAGTGTAATATATCTTAGCCATGGATGTGACTACCTGCTGAATCCTAGGAGTTCTTCTTTCCAGTCACTGACACTTGGAGCAATCTTAGAGAGCCCTGACAAAGGCTATCATGGGAAATACACTGTCGTCCTCATTAAAGACCCTACTTAGTTGTATCTCACCTTCTAAGTTCCTGCCTTATACTTCCCAGGAAAGAAAAAAACTACACAGCAAGACCTAAACAGCATCCCAGAGTAATCACAGAACAGCCATCTCTACAAAAGAAAGAAAAACGAACTGTATAATGTTGCAGTATTTTTACCACAAATAATTTTGCATACAAGGCTTATCTAAATCTGACCATTTTTGCACTAAATGTTTTTTAAAAGTAACAAGTTAATATCTTCTTAATATAGAAATATACCTAACAAAATTTAACTTGTTCTGCTATCATGAAAAGAGGAATTCCAGACAAAGGACTCATAATGTACAGTCAATGGACATATATAAATAAGGACTAAAATTAGACTCAATAATAGATCATCAAACCCGGGAAAACTCCAAGTAAAATTATAATATGCAGTTGTCCCTCCCACCTGAGACTCACCTAAGACTCATACTTTCCTTCCAGCATACCTGTTCTGCCTATTGCCTCAAGACTCAGACTTCAAATGAGTTCCTTTAAGTAGATATGAACAGTTTCACAATGGTTTCCAGAAAAACCAATATGCCACCTAAAGGACAAGGAAAACATCTGCACTAAGAAAATGAAAAGAAGTCAGAGAGATAACTTACTGACTTACACAGATCATATCCATGGGTCCACATATGCCTAAAGGCCAATCTTGTCCTTAATCTTTAGCCACTTAACCTGTAAAATAAAAGATTTAGAAAAGGGCTATCAGCAATATGGATCTTTTCGCTGATACAAAAATTTTTAAATCCATATCCTTTCTCCTTAAAACATTGAAGACCATTAGTGATAGTTATAATATTATTATCTGAACTGAGAGCTATAGTCAGGCTCCTTTTAGAAGCCCTGGCATGAACAGAGAAAAAAGTAAAGGCATGTTCCTACTCTTCTAACCTCTATGGACATTTTATCCATGATAAGTTAATAAGGAGAAGAGAAAACCAATCTTCTAGCTTTCTCATCATTTAATGGTTTGAACTTTGAGTTTCTGTAGACTGGTTAAAAAAAAAAAAAAAGAACCAAGTTCTCCACATTTGAAATTCTTCCCTCTCCTAGTTCTTTTTCCCCACCTCCCTCCTCTGTGGTCCTCATAGTCAGATATGAGGTCAAAGGTGAAAAACACTTCCCTGTGACAAGGCAGTGATGCCCAAGCCACTCACTTCTGGTAATAAAGCTGTTCCTAAAGAATAGCAAATGGTACTCAAGTTTTGGGGACTCTATGCTACTTAGAAGCGAGTGGCTAAAGTTGCACAGTAATTAATTTAAAAAAATAGATGAAAATAACAAACAGAAAAATAAACAGAAACAGTTATGTCCTTGGCCTCAATCAGGTACTTCTAAAAAAGTGATTGGGGAGGTTTGGAGACCACTAGCCCCATACCTTCTCCAGTCACCAAACAACCCAGGCTGGATGTGGTTGCCTGACAACCATACCTTCCATGTACTGAGCCACAAGTATGTCTTTCAGGTGCGTGATCATGGCTTTTGATTGTGAAAGTAAAATGCTAAATCAATTCAGCAGGCTTTGAGTGTTTACAATGTGCCAGTCACTGTATCAGAGATGTGGATCCAGGGATGATGCAATAACCTCTGCCTCCAAGGAGGTCATAGTTTAGTGGACATCTGGCAAAGCACCTCACTGATTCTTAACAATTCATATAATCATATCAATAGATGCAAAAAATCATTTGACAAAATCCAAATTCCATCCTTGATTTAAAAAAAATCTTAGAAAACTAGGACTAGAGGCAAACTTTCTCAACTCAATAAAAAATATCTACAAAAAAATCTACAGGTAACTTAACAGTGAGAAACTAGAGACTTTCCTCTAAGATAGGTAACAAGGCCAGGATGTTTTCTTTCAACACTCCTATTCAACATCATATACAATTTCTAACTAATTCAATAAGAAATGGCATACAGTTGAAAAGGAAAAAATAAAACTGCCTTGCTTCTCAGATGACATGAATATTATATAAAATACCTCAACGAATAAACAACAATAAAAACTCCTGGAACTTAGCCAGGCACGGTGACTCACACATGTAATCCCAGCACTTTGTGAGGCTAAGGCAGGTGGATCGCTTGAGGTCAGGAGTTTGAGACCAGCCTGACCAAGATGGCAAAGTCCTATCTCTACTAAAAATACAAAAAATTAGGCAGGCATAGTAGCGCACATCTGTAATTTCAGCTACTTGGGAGGCTGAGGCAGAAGAATCACTTGAATCCAGGAGGCAGAGGTTGCAGTGAGCTGAGATCACACCACTGCACTCCAGCCTGGGCAACAGAGTGAGACTCCATCTCAAAATAAATAAATAAAAACTCCTGGAACTTAATAAGCAATTATAGCAAGGCTGCAGAATACAAAGTTAATATGCAAAAGTCAATTCCTTTCCTATAAACCAGCAATTAACAGCTGGAATTGAAAATTTAAAACACAGTATCATTTACATTAGCTGCCCCCAAAAATTAAATATATAAGTATAAATCTAACAAAATATATTCAGGACCTATATGAGGAACTCTACCACACTTTGACAAAGGAAAGCAAATATCTAAACAAATGGAGAGATATTTCATGTTCATGGATAGAAAAACTCAATATTTTTAAGACCTCAATTCTTCCCAACATGATTTATAGAGCCAAAGTAATTCCAACAAACATACCAGCAAATTGTTTCATGGATATCAACAAATTCTTTCTTAAGTTTATATGAAAAGGTAGAAAACCCAAAATGAGCAACAAAATACTAAAGGAGAGCAAAGTTAGAAGACAAGGTGATACAGGATTTCAAGACTTACTGTAAAGCTGCAACAATCAAGACCACAAGGTACTGTTGAAAGAACAGACAAATAGATCAATGGAACAATAGAGTGTCCATATAAACGTACCCGCACAAATGTAGTCAACCGATCTTTAGGAAAGAAGCAAAGACGTAAGACTATTCTTTTCAACAAATGACACTTGAACAGACCTTACACCTTTCACAAAAATTAACTCAAAATGAATCACAGGCCGAAATGTAAAACATAATAACTCTCAAACTTCTAGAAGATAACTGTGTTGGTGCCCAAGGGCTACCATAACACAGTACCACAAACTGGAGGGGCTTAAAAGAAGAGAAAACAGATCTGGAAGCTAGAAGGCTCAAATCAAGGTGTCAGCAGGGATGCACTCTATCTGAAGGCTCTAGGGGAGGACACTTCCTTGTATCTCCCTGTTTTTTGGTGTTAGCCAGAAGTCCTTGGACAGCATGATTCAACTGGCTCACACAATTTAAACCACCACAGTTTTCTCTCCAATCCCCCAAAAGTCATGTCCTAACTGTGTGCAAAATACATTCACCCCATTTCAACATCTCCAGGAGACTTGACTCATTCCAGCATCAACTTTAAGTACCAAATCGCCTCTAAATATCAATATAATGTCCCAAATATCGTCTCCTAAATCATCTAAATCAGGTATATGTGAGACCGTGGGTATAGTCCATCCTTGGGCAAAGTTTCTCTCCTGTGGACGCTGAAACCCACAAGTTATCTGCTTCCACAATACAACAGGCATAAGACAAATGGTCCCTTTCCGAAAGGGAGAAACTAGAAGGAAAAAATGGCTCACAGGTCTCAAACGAGTCCAAAACATGGCAGGCAAATTTTCATTAGGTTTCCAGGGTCTGAGAGGGCTGTCTGGATCTATAAGTCACACATGTAATCTTTTCAGTGAATGTTTGTTCAGCAACTCCCAATCATGGTCCTGTTTCCAGAGTATGTTTCCTGAATTGGCTGAGAACTTTCAAACCTATCAAGTGCTGGTGCCTTTGCTTAACTATTCCTTCCTCAAGTTATCTCTTTCCTTTTGCATTTCACTATAAGCAGGCAGGAGAAACTGTGGCCCCATCTTTCATGCTTTACTTAAAAATCTCCTCAGCTGAATATACAAGTTCATTGCCTACAAATTCTGCTTTCCACCCATAGGTAAAACACAGTTCAGCCAAGTTTCTGCCACTCTGTAATAAGGATCACTTTTCCTCTAGTGTCTGATAATATGTTTATGCACTTCCTTTTTAAGGCCTCACTAGAAGCATCTTTAAAGTTCATATTTCTAGTAACATTCTGTTCATGAAAATATATGTATTCTCTAAGATGCAGAGAATCTATGATAGATGCTTTCTCTACAATTCCCCTCTCTTTGAGCCTTCACCAGAATCACTTTTAATATCTGTAATTCTACCAATAGTCTTTTCAAAGCAGTCTAGGCTTTTCATATTAAAATTCTTCCAGTCTCTACACAATTCCAAAGCTACTTCCATGTTTTTAGGTACTCATTACAACAGAAAAAGACTTCCTGGTATCAAAATATGTATTCATGTCCTATGGCTGCCATAACAAATTGCCACAAATGGATGGCTTATAAAAATCAGAAATGTATTCTCTCACAGTTCTGGGGGCAGAAGTCTGAAGGTAAGGTGGTGGCAAGGCCATGCCCTCTCTTAGGCCCCAGGGAAGGATGCTTCCTTGTCTCTTCCTAACTTTTGGTGGTTTCAGCAATCTTTGATGTTCCCTGGTTTAGACATCCCACTCCAATTTCAGCCTGTGCTGTCACATGAATTTCTCCCTCTGTCTGTGTCCAAATTTCCCTTGTTTCACAGGGACACCAGTCATTGCATTAGGACCTCAGCTTACATCTGCAAAGGCCCTATTTCTAAATAAGGTTGGATTCGTAGGTACCTGGGGTTAGAACTTCAAAATATTCTCTTAGGGTATAAAATTCAACCACACATCAATAATCCAAGAGAAAATCCAGGTGATCTTGGTTTTCACAATGAGTTTTTAAATACAACAACAAAAAATAATCCATGTAACAAAGCTGATAAGTTGGACTTCATTAAAATTAAAAACTTCTGGCCAGGCATGGTGGCTCACGCCGTAATCCCAGCACTTTGGGAGGCTGAGGAGGGTAGATCACGAGGTCAAGAGATCGAGACCATCCTGGTCAACATGGTGAAACCCCGTCTCTACTAAAAATACAAAAAATTAGCTGGGCATGGTGGCGCGTGCCTGCAATCCCAGCTACTCAGGAGGCTGAGGCAGGAGAATTGCCTGAACCCAGGAGGCAGAGGTTGTGGTGAGCCGAGATCACGCCATTGCACTCCAGCCTGGGTAACAAGAGCAAAACTCCGTCTCAAAAAAAAAAAAAAATTTAAAACTTCTTTTCTGCAAAATACACTATTAAGAGAGTAAAAAGACAAGCTACAGACCAGAAAAAAATGTTTGAAAAACACATATCTGATAGGGAATTTCTAATTAAAAAATATACAAAGATCCTTAAAGCTCAACAATGAGAAAACAAACAACTTTATTTAAAAATTGGCAAAACAGGCATGCCACTGCAAATTCTGTGAAACAGGAGAAAAACTGTGAGTTCCCAAACTGTTAAAGGGAGAAAACCTAATTCCAAACACAATCCCTACTGGGAATCTGAAAATCCAGATCACAGCAGAATTTAACCTTACCTAAAGATGGAAGGAATTTAGGGAGTCACACAAAACATAAAAGTAGAAGTAGCAGGAAGTGCCTTGTACGCACTCCCAGTCCCCAGCTCAAGCACAGGGAAGCCATCCCTGACTATACCTCACCAAAACCCTTGAGGAAGACAACAAGCAGAATTGCAGAAGGGCTGC